GGAAAAAGTATGCACATATTTTCCCTGCTAGCAGAGTCTTCTCTTTTCTCTCCCTTCTTTCAGGCGGGGAGGAAGGAGACTGCCGATGTAGAGCGATTCCTTTGATACACCGCCGTCCACGAACAAAACCAGTTTTAAAACCGGTTTTAACCGATTACATGTAGTGCGCATGATCAAATGTAACACACCGTGGCGACAAACATTGTTTGACGAGAGCGGCTGTCAAAATCATGACAGCGTTGCTAAGTTACGCCACGCATGCGCGACAGAAATAACGTCCTACATCGGCAGAGTCTATTTTTTTCTCTCAACCAAACAAAAGGAAAATAGGCTCTGCTAGCAGGGAAGCACATATTAACCTAGGGTTTCCATACATTTGTACCCGTGGGATCTCTGTAAAAAAAGGCAAAGGGAAATGGGAGTGAACAGGCAGATGTTCCAAAATTCTTTTGAATCCAAATCGAGATCTTTCAACTTGGTTAGCATGCTTGGGGATCTTTTGCCAAATTTACACTCTTTTCATTTAGGTTCCTGCGACGACCCCTCAAATTGACCCCCTCCCCCTCTCCCCTAAAACCCTGTCCAAATAAACCTGATCATGTGATAACTACTAGATGACTATGGCAGTTATGAAAGAAAATGTGCGCACTCAATACCTTCCTTACAGTAGGCCATGGGAAATGTTCTCACTCAACATGAAGGCTGTCACTAAATGATGGGCGGGGTCAGCCTCACCACAGTGTGGACGAACCTTGAAGGTGTTGAAACCTCGCTCTCTATTGGATGAAAAAACGATACTATTACATTAAGTACAAAGAGATTTTAACTTTACCACAGTAGCGCGCGCCATGTTCATTCAAGCCAATTCAATGTTACAGCATCACATACCCTGTGCTGGAAGTCAGTACTGTATTTTGTTGCTTATATTATTATATTATATTGCTTATTGTGATGTCTTACCGTCTAAGATGATTCAAGCAGACCATATTGGAATACATGTCGTACAGGTAGTAAGAGTAGGGAGGGTTGTCCTCTGATGTCCAGTTGGCTGGTAGTGGGCTGTTCTGACTGAACAGCTGACTCTCTCCTTTACTCTCATCATCAACGCCATCAAATCCTATCACCTGGTGAATAATGCAAGTTGTGTGTCACTGAGGACCTGTAAGACCTTGCTTAGCAGGCACCACATTAACCAACCACGCCACAATTGCTCCTTAAAACAAGTGTGGGAGGTCACTTAGGATCAAACAATGGACCTCTTGCTTAGCAGGCAGTACACTAACCAACCAAGCCACAGTTGCTCCTGAAAACAAGTGTGGGAGGTCAATTATGATCAAACAATGGACCTCTTGCTTAGCAGGCACCACATTAACCAACCAAGCCACAGTTGCTCCTTAAAACAAGTGTGGGAGGTCAATTATGATCCAACAATAGACCTCTTGCTTAGCAGGCAGCACATTAACCAACCAAGCCACAGTTGCTCCTTAAAACAAGTGTGTGAGGTCATTGAGCATCAAACAATGGTGCTCTTGATTTGCAGGCAGCACACTGACCAAACCCACTTGCTGCTTAAAACCAAAGTGCGTGGACTTCTTCCTTAGCAGTTAACGCATTAATGGGTTAGGTCATTGAGGATCAAACAAATTCTTATGGTCCTCTTGCTCAGCATGCAGCACATTAACCAACCAAGCCACACTTGGTTCTAAATTGATGCTGARAAATCTAGGCTTCTTCAATCAATTTTTAAGAATATTGAGAGGTGTTTTACCTGTGTTAAGAACTGGTGCAGTTGTGGATGAGACTGTGGGTTGAG